AGTCACTGGCCCATAGTGATCAGTCAAGGTCACCCACTGAAAGAGAAAGTTAGTTTAAGGAGCTTAAAAACTATTTAAAGGTGGGGGAGGGTATGGTAGTAAAGCCTTTAATCTCAGCACTTGGCAGAGGCAGGTGGGTCTCTGTGAGTTCAAAGCCTGGCTGGTCAACACAGGACAGCCAAGAATACATATATATGAGACCCTGTTTCAGGAAAAAAAAAAAAAAAGGCACAGGGTTGGAGGGAGGTTGTCTCACAGAATAAGGAATAATGGGGTTTGGTTTATTCATTCTTTTATTGAAACAGAGTTTCTACGTAGACTAGGCTGGCCTTGAACTCAGAGATCTGCCTGGCTTTGCCTCCCAAGTGCTGGGATTAAATGCTTGTGCCACCATGCCGGGTTTAGAAACTCAAATACAAATATTAGATACTTAGGGTTTCATGTCACCCCATGTGGAGATGGTTTAGTCAGTAAAAAGCCTGCTGTGCAAGCATGAGGACCTGAGTTTGGATCCCCAGAACCCACATAAAAACCATGCATGGCTGGGGAGATGGCTCAGCAGGAAAGAGCACTGGCTGCTTTTGCACAGGACCCAAAGTCCGATCCCCAGCAACCATCTGGCAGCTCATGACCACCTCTAACTCCAGTTCCAGAGGATCCAATGTCCTCTACTGAACTTTGCTGGTACTGCATGTGTCTGTACACAAACTCATATAGACACACACACAGTATAAATCTTTTTTGAAAACACAGCTATTGCCCGGGGCTGGAGAGATGGCTCAGAGGTTAAGAGCACCGACTGCTCTTCCAGAGGTCCTGAGTTCAATTCCCAGCAACCACATGGTGGCTCACAACCATCCGTTATGAGATCTGGTGCCCTCTTCTGGTGTGCAGATATACATGGAAGCAGAATATTGGATACATAATAAATAAAATCTTTAAAAACCAGCTATTTCTGAATAACAAATTGACATAGCTGATTTCAAATTGCATCAACTATTCTTACCAAGTTCATTTCAACTAGATAGGCCATTATCAATTTTAACTGGCTTAAGTGTGTCAAACCAAGTTTAAACTGATTTAAGTCAAATCAAGTTTAAACACAATCAAACCACTTGGCAAGAACCCATCCGTGTTTTTGAGGAGCATGGAGCCTGCGGGTGAGCCTGGGCTGTGGGGTCAAGGACAAAGGCATTATGGCATTATGGCATTATGATTATGATTATTATTATTATTATTATTATTTGGTTTTTCGAGACAGGGTTTCTCTGTGTAGCTTTGGCACCTATCCTGGAACTCGCTCTGTAGACCAGGCTGGCCTCGAACTCAGAGATCCACCTGTCTCTGGGATTTAAAGGCGTGTACCACCAACGCCCGGCTGCATTATGGCATTATTGCCCTTAACCTGCTTGTTCTTGGGCAAGCTCATTTCACTCCAGAAACCTGTCTTCATTTATGAAGAGAGAATAACACTATTCTCTCATGGGATTGCTACGGCAACTTAAGTGTGGTATACTTAAGAACAGTTAACTAGCCTGTGTGACATGCTCAGTTAGCCATATAATCATCTAAGGTGATCCAAATTTATAATGTTGGCTCAAAATGGCTAGACACAGAAAACGATGGTAATAGAAGTGAACTCTTTTCCCTACTTTCCTTCACTTTTATTCATTTACTTATTTTTAAATAGAGACAGGGCTTCCCATGTAGGCCTGGCTGGCCTGGAACTCACAGGGATCCACCTGCCTCTGCCTCTGCCTCCTGAGTACTTAAAGGCATTGCCACTAAGCCCAGCTTTCTTCCCTGTTGAAGGATCCTCACTTATTCTACTTCCTCCAAGAACTCTCCACACCTCTGAACCCACACAGTAAGGACTGAATGATCAAAGCCTGGTATCCTGAACACAATCGCACAGTAGAAGTCACAGTGCCTACCCAGGCTGGAAGCTGTTTTTCCGGCTCCCATTTCTTCACCATTCTTTTCTCCTTCTTCCTATCCTAGCCTGGTACTGACCAAGTCCATGTGTTCAACACCAAGTCAGAAAGCTACATGGGATTTCTGTGTCACGGTGGTCTCATGAATATGCATCAGAACGAAGCAGAGTGGGTGGTGACGGAAAAGGACAACTTAACTCATTAGTGAGGATGGAGCATTTTCCACTGAGTAGGTCACGTCTGAGCGGCTCACACTCCTCACCTCATTTGCTCTCTCCCTGGGAGTGTGCAGATTTCAAAGCTAACAGCTCTGTTCTGAAACAATCTGACTACTCACTTGTCCTACTACGTATACTGGGTGCTGAGGATAGAACCCGGGGCCTTGCCCATGCTCTGCAAGCACTCCCACCACTGGGCACCAAGCCCTGCCTTAGACAGTGTTTTTATAAGCTTGTGTTAATAGCACACCCATTTGAGCCTCAAAGACTCCAGGGTGGGATTTCCCCTGATCTCATTTATAGATGAAGAAACTGAAGTTTGGAGACTGAAGTTAGGAACACCTCCCAATGCCTGGCAGCTTGGGTTCAGGGCTTGACAGTTTAGCCTGTAGGCCTGCAGTCTATTGTCCAGCCCTGCCTCTCCCTCCAGCCCATCTGTCCTCTTCCTTTTTTTCTTTTATCACAGTCCTATCTCACATAGAGCTGTTTGCTGGGCACAGGGGAGCTGTCCTATGCCTGCCCTGGAACACCTTGTGCCCTGACACCACCATCCGTTGGTGTCAGAGTTGAAGTGGGGCTCTCAACACACTTGAAGGAAGTGGTGATGGCTTCCAGATGAGCTTATTATCCTAAATTTAACATTTTTTCAGCACTTAGAATTTCCACTTTCTCCCTTCCACCCCTGTGCAATTAGAAAGCATGCAACAGGAAACCATTTGAGTCTCAGACAGTCCAGAGGAAGGCAGCCCAGCTCCATGGACTACATCCTTGTGGAAATACTCTGCAGAGTTTATTTGGACAGGCTCAAAAATAGTCTTTCCAACAATGCAATCAGATTGAACCATGACAAGTAAAATGCAATTATGGGTTGGTTACATTAAAAAAAAATGTAAACAGAGGTTTGAGAAGCAACAGCAAAAACAAGAGCCATCTCCTTCACCCCAGTGTCTGCTTCCTGCAGGATTGTGGGATGGCATTCTTGGGTCTTTTGAAAGCGGTGAGAAGATGACATTCACTCAAAGGGACAGCTCAGCAAAGTGTTCCGAGGCCACTTCTCAGAACAAAGGCATGCTTCTGTAGACAGCAAATGTGTCCCAATAAAGGCTCCCCAGCCACTCGGAATGCAAAAGTCATTCGCCTAAATGAGTTCAAAATACATATTGTTCTGAGCCAAATTATACAGTGTCAAGTTCAGACTGTATGTATTTATATATGTTGGCAGCGCAGGCCACTTTTGGGGCGCCACAGCTTTGCCCTAGTATCCTGTGCCCAGCTGGGTTCCCATCACTGGCTCCTTAAACCCATGAATTCCTTTGTGTTTGGTTCCAGAAGGGCAGGAGGCAGGGGAGAGGCGAACCCAAAGCTCCACAACCCCACTAGGGGCCAGGGCCCCCAGAGGTCTTAAATTTCAAATGAAACTTCAAAACTTCAAGTAGAACAGAATGCTTCCCCTTGCCAACAAGCTGGAACTTTGTGAAGGCTCATCATCTGAGATCTCTCTCTCTCTCTCTCTCTCTCTCTCTCTCTCTCTCTCTCTCTCTCTGTGTGTGTGTGTGTGTGTGTGTGTGTGTGAGAGAGAGAGAGAGAGAGAGAGAGAGAGAGAGAGAGAGAGAGATTAGGCTCTGGACTGCTCATGCTCTCTATTAAGAGCTACAAGGAGGGAATACAAAACTCTGGGACTAATCAAACAGCTGGCACTCCATTGCCTGGCTTCTGCCCAAAATCATTTCCCCTGGAGAGGACTGATACCTGAGGCATTTCAGCAAAGCTTTAAGAGTGTTGAGGGACCAGATCCCTGCAAACAGACACCTAAAACCTAGCTAGTGGTGGGACAGAAGTTCAACCTTGGCCCTGTTCCTGCCGTGTTCTATCTAGACACAGGGCAGTCTTCCCTTTGTCTTTTTAGATGGGGGAGGGCTGTTAATCTTAACTCTGAAGGCAGAAAATAGGGAGAACAAGGGACTAATCTGTAAAGCAAATAGGGAGAGGAGCTGGAAGGGAGGAACTCAGCCGCCTGACTAATATTCTTCTAATGCCATGGCTGCTCTGCATGGGTTAAGAGAGCTGTGTGAAAAATAGCCAAGCGACTGAGGCATGCCATGGCCATGACTTGCTGGCCTGGGCACAGCCCATTATTGGCAGAGCACCCCTGCCGCCTGTTCAGGTTCACAGTCCAGCTCATGTTTCTGGAAAAGGAAGTAGAACAAAGAATAAGGGAGGAAAAAGCAGAGGGAGGAGAGAGGCCACCCTGAATTACTCACCAAAGCTCTTTCAAGGACTGAGGTCTAATCAACGTGCCTGGCACTGGCTGATGCCCTCCGGCCGCCCCTTCTGCCCTTTCCTGCACTCTAGCTCATGGCTGCTTGTCCTCCCAGCTATGAGCATCCCCTCAACCAGAGCATTCACAAGTGGACACCTACAAAAGCCTGAGTACAAGTGTGCTATACACATCACAAGAAACTGGAAATAACTCTATGCCATGCCTCACACAGACCCACAAGAACAAAGTCGAGGGGAAGTAGCCCTTTGTCCTCAAACTACCAGCCAGAGCTGAGACTGCATGAAATTCCATGCAGTATTGGGATGGACAGCAGGTAGGGCCCAGAGCAGCTATGGTCCACAGAAGAGCCAGTGTGCAGGCCTAGAGGAGCATCAGGAAGGTACACCTCAAGACTTCACCATGGTCCTCACTGCACAGGGGTACCACCAGTCTCCAAGGGCGGGGAGGGGTGTGCATTAAGGGGGGGAGGAGGACATGCCTGACTGTGACTTCAAGAGGTCACAGAGTCCACAGCTAGGCCATTCAAAGAGAATCTTCCTGCCATATAAAGGAATGAAGGCCTTGCACTGGGCTTCCCATTTCTAATTTATTTAAGATCGTCTCCTTACAATTTCCAAAGAGAAAATACAAAAGAAACAGACTCGGTTTCAAACACACAAACAGTGGCTGGAGTCGAAAGCGTTGTGATGACACTGTCATAGGATCTCAGCACACTCCAGGGCACTTCAGTATTCCTGAGGAATAAACATGGTTTCTCTTTCCTCCCGCTGGGGTGTTCTCAGCATAAGTCACTGCTCCTACAAAGCAAGGGCATTCAGTTAGAACAGGCAGGCAGGAGACATTCTGGTACCACTGGATGCTGCCTAAGTCAGACCCCAGGACCAATGATGCCAATCACAGCCAGATTTCTGCTATCATCTGTTTCCCAAGCAGAGACCCCAGCCTGAGAGGGAGAAGACCAGAAGGGGAAGGCATAACCGGACAGTCAGCTGTGCTCCAGGAGGTCAAAGGTGAGTGCCAAGCACAGGTGACCAGCAGCTGCTGACTCCAGTCCCTAGCAGGCCTCACCTCTAAGATTCTTCCCCCCTTGCTGAGTGGGGATACAGCACCTCTCTCATAATCCACTGGGAAGTGAGGGAAAAAGGGACTATGAATAAAAGTCCCCAGGGTGGTGCACAGGGCCCAGCCCATGCTTAGCCACCAGTTATCATAACACAGCCATGCCACATAAGCCTCCAGTGGGATTTTGTTCCTCCGTGAGAGAAGGATGACAACATCCAGGCACAGACTCAAGTCCAAATGAAGTTACAAGGCCATTCATTTTAGAGCACCATGTGCAAGGCTGCAGAAAATGTAATATTTTCCACAGAACCTCCCAGCCATTAAACATCTAATTCACATAATCACCTCTGATCCATCATCCAGGACAACTCAGCTTGGAACAATGGAAACACAACAATGAAGACCAACACTCTGCCTGTACCCTGCTGTCCACCCTCAGCCAAGCTCTGCTGCTAGGAAGGTGAGGAAACTGGGAGAGTGGAACAGCCTGTCCCAGGTTGGTGTGCCACTCATCTCTTCTTCTTACAGAGGACCCAGGGCCCATCACCCACTTAGTGACTCACAACCATCTATAACTCCAGTCCCAGGGGATCTGATGCCCCTTTTCTACCTCCACGGGTACCAGCAAGCACATGGTACAGACATACATACAAACTGAACACCCATACTCAAACTGGCAAAAGATGGCAAAAATATGAAGAATTCTGCAAGGCAGAGAGCTAACAATTCTGTACGTACTTTGACATATTTTCCATGTAGAAGATACGGAGCCTGAAAGTCATGCTGACAGTTGGAGTAGGCCATCCCCAATCCCACGCCAGAACCAAAGGCTAGTGGCCACATTCTTCCTATTGAGCATAAAGAGAAAAATCCCAACAGGGAATTGTTAAGATAAAGCATCCACCCAGCATGCGTGCTTAGCATTCACAAACCCTTAGTAGGCATCATGTTGCTGACTGATAGGTGAGAGGCCACCACACAACACTGTAATCCAGCATGTTTACTAAGTGCCTGGGCTGCTACGTTTGATGCAAACAACCCAGTCTCTCATCACTTGTGAACCTGAACTAGTTCCTTAACCTTGACAGAAGGAACACATCAATAAGGTGTTTAAATTATTAATTTCACCAACATTCACAAACTTTGGTTTGTAAACTATGGTGTCCCTAGTTCCATGTGATTTCTCCATGGAAAGAGGTCAAGGTGACCTGTTTGGCTTCTAGTCAATACTCAAACTTAAGTTGTCCCAAGAAGGAAACTCAGGAAGAAGCAGGGGCACTTCTGGCCCACTTGCCTTTATTAGCAAACCCATCTGGCTCACTTTAGAAATATGTGGGCATTCGGACTGGTCAGCATAACATGCAGGCTTCTGAAAGGATGTCATGTTTAAGACACCAGACAGCCCTGACTCATTGCCCCCAGGGACACTGGAGATGTTCAACCCATGCAGACTCTGTCTAGCTCATTTTACAATGGCTGGGTTGGCAGCGTTTGGACAGACACTGTAGTGAGAAGCTGGTAAAAGTCACTTACTTTTAAAGAAGGTGAGTGAGAAAACAACTCCTAATCCAAAGCCAGTAGCTGCAAAAAATGGAAAACAGTGTTACAGTGCAGTAATCCAGTGACCCCAAACAAAGGCTGAACTAAGATTGCTTCCAAACAAACATTACAGAACAGGCTACCTTTTTATAACTTGGAAGTCTGTTTTCTCATTGTTAACCTTTCTCATTGTCAGGGACACTGCAAATGCCTCCAGTCCTCACAAAAGAAAATGAGAAACTTCATTCCCTATCATTTTGTCCTGGAGTGTTGCAGGGTGGCAGTGAGGGTGGGGACCCCAAGAGACTGTTGTAGACTCTTCTACACCTCACATGGGGAGTCACTAAAAAGCTCCCCTTGTCACTTTGTTTCTCCAAGAAAGGATGATCCAGAAAAATTTCCAAAGGTTGCATGCACTACCACACAAGTCTCCATGGCCATGCAGAGGGAGAAGCACTTCCCTTTGCCAGAGCTGGGGATCCTATCCCAAGCCCTTGTATGCTAGGCAAGGTGTAGCATAGAACTACACCCCCAGCCTCATTAACACCCCACTCTGAATCTCAGCTTGCAAAAAGTCCTGGCTTTTAGGGTGAGCTGAGTCTGAATTTGTCAAACCTTAGTTCTGATGCCAACTTCAAAATTTCTGCTTGGCCTACACATAACCTACATCATTATTTTCTTTTAAAAGAGAAAAGGATGCAATACATCTGTGAGTAAACTGAAGCCCAACTTAAACAACAATGTTGGTGTGATCGCCCAGGTGCGCACATGAATTTACATCACCACCACAGCCGAGCTCTGGCTGTCTTCCTCTTCAGACCTACAAACCAACACATTCAGTTCATGGACTCTGGTGCTCTGTGTTGGCTTTGAGACAGAGTCTGGCCATGTAGCCAGACTCGGTGGTCCTCCAATTCTCAATCCTCCTTCCTAGCTCTACTGGGATTACAGGTTGCACCACCATGCCAAGATTGTTCTGAAGTTCTGTGTGTCTGCTCCATGGCCGGCAGAGCCTTGAACCATCCACTTTATGAGTACACCACATAAAGTCCTGGTTCTTCCAAATTTGTGTTGCTGCTAAAATCTGGTGGGTTTTTTGCTGCTGTTTTGCCTTTTGAAGCAGCATACTGCTAAGCAGCCCTGGCTGGTACTTACTTTGGAGTCCGGCCTGCCCTTAGCCTCTGAGTGCTAGGATTACAGGTGAGCACCACACACCCAGCTTTGTGCTGCTGAGATTCTAAGTTTCTTCTTACTGGGCTGAGGATATGGCTCAGTGGTAAAGCACCCACCTCACACGCACAAGGTCCCACGTTCAGTTTCTAGGATATCACATACATACATAGAGGCAAACATACAGGGAAGAGAAGAAGGGAGAAGAGAATTCTCTAGGTAGTGCAACACAAAACCTCGGAGTACTCTTCAAGCAAGCTAACTTTCTGTTCTGAAGAAGAAAACCTCAACATGAGTGATCAAGGTGTGTATTTTTGATCCAGGAACTCTTTGTCACTCATGCACAATCTAACTGGTGTTAGATTTAGTAAAGCACACATGCTACTCACACAAAATAGTTTCTTTTTATTAATTTACTTATTCTTTTGATGTGTATGTACTCATTTATATGTGAAGACCAGAGAACAACCTCAGGTATTGTTCTTCAAGAGTCATCAGCCTTTTGGTTTTTTGTGGGGGTTTTTGTTTTGTTTTGTTTGTTTTTTGAAACAGGGTTTCTCTGTGTAGCCCTGGCTATCCTCGAACTCACAGAGATCCATCCACCTGTCTCTGCCTCCCAAGTGCTGCCTAGCTCAGCCTTGTTTTTTTGTTTTGTTTTATTTTAAGAGAGGGCTCTCACTGGCCTAGAGCCCAAGGGATCTTCCCGACTCCACCTCCTGTGCTGGGATTACAAGCAAACCTCCAAAGCTGGGCTTTTATTGTTCAATTCAGGTTCTGAAGATTGAAGTCAAATCCTCATGACTGAATGGCAGGCACTTTACCAACTGAATCACCTTCTCAGTCCCCAGATTATTAATACTTGGGGGCGGGGTAGATGCAGGGTCTCACTAAATAGCCCTGACTAGTCTGGAATCACTATGTAGACCAGGCTGGCCTTGAACTCACAGAGATCCACCTGCCTCTGCTCCCTCTGCTGAGATTAAAGACTGCAGGAAGCGAGTCGGGTGGATCTCTGAGTTTCAGGCCAGTCTGGTCTACAAAGTGCATTCCAGGACAGCCAGTTGTTATACAGATAAAGCCTGTCTCAAAAAACAAAAAAACAAAAAAACAAACAAACAAAAAATACCATGAACCACCATGCTCCGAAGGTTTTTAATCATTCTACCACATAAGGGGCCTTGATGTATTTCTTTCATAGACAAGTACAACAGACTGCATGTATGGTGTCAGTACTATAGATTTCCATGGGACTGAAACAGGAACCAGCGGTGGAAGAAGAGACCAGAGAAAGGCCAGAGCAGGAGGACAAAGCAGAATTCCCAGGGACAGACGGGCCTAGCAGCTGCTTCTGTACAGAGCTAAACAGGACCCCGCACCAAGAGGCTGTTCAGGGTGCATTCTCTGCCACCAACAAGCTCAGGAAGAAAAGGGAAAGCAGAGCACACTGGGTGTTTCTGAAGAGGACACCTCAAGCAGGCATCCAGGAGCTCCAGAAGTGTCACTGTCTTTGTCACAGCAAGGGCCAGTTCCCTGTGCTTTACTGCAGCTGGCCTTCCAGTGGAGAGTGAGGTAGAGCTGGAAGAAGGTGATATGAATGATTCTGACCCTAGAAATAGATTCAGGGTTAGGACAATGTACGCATGTATGTATGTGTATGTGTATGTGTATGTGTATGTGTATGTGGATGTGTATGTGTGTGGGTGGGGGGGGGGGTCTTAAATTTTAGCAAAAAAAAAAATTTAAATGTTAAAAACAAAATTGTTATTGTTAACAAAATTTAAATTGTTAAAAAGAAAATTAGTCAGGTGGTGGTAGCATACACCTTTATCCCAGCACTTGGGGGGCCAAAGCTAGCAGATCTCCGAGGTTGAGTCCAGCCTGGTCCTACAAAGCAAGTTCCAGGACAACCAGGCCTACACAGAAACTCCGTCTCAAAAAATAAATAAATAAAAATAGCGATTACAGAATATGAATACAAAGGAATACTTTTACTATACAATGTGTTTGTATTTTAAGCTAAATGCAATTGCAAAAGAATAGAAATGTTACCAGGAATAGTGGCCATGCCTGTAATCCCAGCAGAGGCAGGAGGATCTCTGAGTTCAGACCAGCCTGGTCTACATAGTGAGGCTGTGTGTGTACTCATATTACTGCACAGCCACAGACCCTTACACTGTACTACTCAGCCTGTTTTCTTCCTAAAATCAAACAACAAAACACCAAGAGAAGATGAGCTAGCTAAGATTAATTCATTGTCGATGAAAAAACATTTTACACAAGTGTAGCCTGTGCACACCATGCCTGGAGCTATAGTGACAGCCCAGGTGTCAGACTCCCCAGAGTAAGCTCCAGTGCTCTACTTTTTAACCTGTTTTCACTGTGCTCTTAGGCTCACATGGCTTTGGGCACAGACACTTGCCACAGTGTTAGAGCCACCACAGCATGTAGTACAGTAATGTGCTCCTGAGGTTTGCAGGCCAGGAGCAACAGTCACCTACCTACCCTGTTTGTGCCTAAGTACAAAGCATGATGAAACAATGAAACCACCTAGGATGCATGTCTAAGAATACAGCTGAACAGCTGACACACATTGGATACACCTGGTCTCTATGCCATGTGAATTTTAACTAAAATCAGCTATGGCACTATTCATAGATCCTATACCATGAACTATTTTGGTGCCAAATTTAAAATGCAGTATCTGAAAATCAGTAATGCCACTCCAATTTCCATTTAAAAAAACACGGGAGGTAGTATGCCAAGGCTGGCCTGGTAAGTAGCCAATCAAGGTTTAATGAAAAGGAAAGGAAATTACCGTCAAATGTTACTCATGAGTACCCAGCACCACTTTCCAAGCAAAGTCTTTTTATTTTCTTTTATGGTATGAATTATTCTGCCTGCAGGTATGTCTGTACACCATGTGCATGCCTGTTGTCCATGGAAGCCAGAGGAGGGTGTTGGATCCTCTGGAACTGGAGTTCCAGATGGTTGTAAGACACCATGGGGGTGCAGGGAATCAAATCTGAACACAGCCCTCCAACCCCCAAAACAGCCGGTGCTCTTAACCACTGAGCCATTTCTGCAGCCCAAGAAAATTCTTGTAAAACAAACAATCTTTTCAGTCGTGCTAATACAAATCACTACGTTGGGAAAGGGAGACAAAAGGACCAGGATTTCAACCCATCCTTAGTTACAATAGCAAACTCAAGAAAAATCTGAGCTACATGAAACCCTGCCTCAAACACCAAAATGACCCCAGGCAGGCGGTGGTGGTGTAAGACTTTATTTAATACCAGCACTAGGGAGGCAGAGGCAGGTGAGTCTCAAAACAAAACAAAACAAGGAAAAGTACCTCCTATGGTAGTATACCCTTGTTTTCCAGGTGTAGAAAATAAGTAACTTGCCCAGAACAAACTATTGCTTACAAAGTAGCCAAATGGGACCAATTCTGCCAGTGTTATTATGCCACTGTCCCCAGGACATCCAGACACAGGATTCTCTTCTATTTTCAGCCCACCAATACTACTTTCCAAAGGAGACTGGAGTGCCCAGATTTCTAGAAGCAGTGAAGTAAGATAGTTAAAACATGAGCCATGCTCTCCATGCAACAGCCTAGAGTGCTAGGCAACCAGGTTAGTAACAAGCCCACACAAAACCAACAGGGCTTGCTCAGATTCCTTCCCAGAATCATCCTACCACACATGTCGCTCAAACTAGTCTACCTGGCAGGATTGATCCAAGAACTCCAGAGAATGGAAGCCACGGCAAAGCTACTCCAAACCCAGGAACCTGCTACTGTTTGCTTGGTTTACAAAATGGCAGAAGGTTCAGTTTTGTCAAGGCAACTTGCCTCACCCCTTGCAGCTGGAGGG